CTTGATAGGGCCCTTATAAGGGCACCTTCCTCGGGGAAACCGCTATGCAGCGCCTGCCCAGGGTCGCGGAATTCTATCCTGCCAGGAGTATTGATCCTAGTCGTCTTAGGGATTTATCGTGCCAACTGCCTTTAACCCATTGCGTACCGCGGCGTTTTCGCGATAACGAGCGCGCTGTGCCGACGAGGCGCTTTTTATCTCGACGCGATCGCGGGGGCGCCGAGTATAAACAAATGTTATTTTTATCATATTTTTACTACATAAGGATATTGCGTATACTTCGTTTTATACATTGCTTTTATATGCACTAATATGATAAGTAGAATTGAATAGCATTGCGTGATAAGAAAGGTGGGCCAAGAAAACGCGACAGTTGACAAAAAGATTGATAAGTTCAAGAAGGTTTGGAATTGCGACGTATGTCTACAGATCCTCCAATTTTACTAGTTTACGATTCTTTAGCTGAGTCACAGCCAGAGTTTGGCTTGAGTGCTTACTAGGAAATTAACAAAGGTTATAGTAGCTCGAGAATTTCCCAAAAAATATCAATAACTTTGCTCTAGTTTGATCCCACTATTTCCCACATATACATTTCTTTCCTGGGAGTACTCAAAAATATACCAACACTCTTGAGTCCATCGAACAATGCCTAAAAAGTTCAAACCAAGCGTGCTGCTCCATGTGTAGCACGCGGCCATACAGAGTCAAACGAGCGTGCTGCACATGGTGCAGCACGCGGTACGCAGTGGGTTAAACTAGGCATTCTGCGTCCCCTATAATGTGGTTCAATTTAACTGATTTCACATGTTATCTTTCAATTATGATCTTTAACAAAAATCGCAGCAAAAATCTTCTCCGGTTCAGATTTCAGTGTGAGGGGGAGGGGGAATTTGAAGAGGCTGTTTAGTTCCCGTTTCGTACGTGCCCTTGAAGACACATGGTACCCTCACACATATTGGGGGTGTATGTGACTATCAGCCCCCCCCCCCCCCCCCAGCTGTCGATGTGTCGTGGTTTCCCCGCCCGAAACTGCACGGGGTTAGAGTACAGGGCCGTGGGAAAGTCTAATTCGTCCATGCTCCGCCTACCGTTTATGCTAACAGCCGTTGCGGCGCGTGTCGCGTGCGGCCCTCTTGGCACTTTGCCAAGTCCTGTAATTGCGCTTTGAAATACAAGTAGAAACGCAATTTCCTGATGCGGATAACATTTTAGGTGCTGCAAAATAAGAACCGAAGATGATGACGAGGGCCAGAACTCAAGAGCAACTGTGCTGCTTCTGCAACATCCCTCAGAGGCCGCGCATTCCCACAGAACATGACAATAAAAACGGCCTAAGCGTTCCACTCGTTAGTTTGAAGGCAGTTGGCACGATGGTTTCCTACTTAGCCTAAAATGCTAGTAGGGCGCTGTATAGTGGGGAAATGGCGAAAGAACGGAGTGAAACGGTCAAAATCCTGCGAAGAAAAAGCCTCCGTTCTCAGTGACTTGAAAATTTCGGACGAGTTTCCCGTAGGCATCTTGCCAATCACCGCTACCGAAGATACGGCTGCATATGTGTACCCATGTATGCATGCAGCATCACGGCCGCTTCATACCAATCCCTTCGCTTCATAATTTGCTTAGCAAATGAATGCAGCACGCGACACGCGCCGCGCGGACGGCTGTTAGCATAAAGGGAGTCTGCGCCGCAAGTTGCATTTTGGGCGGAGCATGGACGAATTAGACTTTCCCGGCCCTGTACTCTAACCCCGTGCAGTTTCGGGCGGGGAAACCACGACACATCGACAGCTGGGGGCTGATAGTCACATACACCCTCAATGTGTGTGAGCGTACCATGTGTCTTTAAAGGGAACTAAGCAATTTTTCGTATCCACCCTCAATGCTCATCAGTAAGGGAAGGGAGGTCAACAATTTGATTAGTTCCAAAATTGTGATAAGTTTCGTTACGCTGCAAATGTATTAAAACGTAAATTTGTTCTTCTGAATATCCTATATTTATTGCTATTCAACCCCTTGCAGACCCTTTGCGCGATTGCAAGTCGTGGAGAATGTGGCAGAAATATGTATTTGCAGCTGCTTATTTGCTTGCTAGCAATGATTAAAGCAGAGAAATTTTCACCCATTAAAACACGCCACGTGGTTTTCAGCATTGAATCACCGTGCGGTGGCAGTAAAGGGAACGCGAGACGCGGTGTCACGCAAGGAAGAGTATTTAGGGTACAGCATCGCTGTGTTAAACACATGGGGGGCGGTCGAGCTTGACCGCTGGGGAGAGGGGTTGTATATGGTCGCTATTTGGAGAGGGGTCGTGTGTACTTTGAGGGAAATCCGCTGCGTTGGGAGAAAATTTCCTCCGGTTGTTGATTTTTTCGCTTACCCTCCCCCCCCCCCCCCCCGCTCCACGGAAAGCTTCTGCGTGAAAAACTAGAAGGGAAATCCTGGAGAAAGTGGAAGAAGCTGTGAACTTGTAGGAAAGTGGTACTAGGAAAGTGGTACATATTGTTGGGGAAGAGTCGTACCGGGACCCTCCCTCGAGTGGAGGGGGGGGTCGTATTGACACCAACATTTCACACATCACAATGCTGTACGCCGCGAGCATTACTACACTCCCTATCCCTGAGACGGAGTAGGCGTGACATTTGAAACATGGTCTAGGGTGACTACTGGTGGGTGAATTCAATTTGAGACAGCTGTCGTCTTGCTCCGTGCACGACAAAGAGGTGATTAGTGCTGTCCCAAAATAAAAATATCCCACAGAGGGGATTTTGAATTTACCTAGCTGGCTCGCCATCATCTTCTACTGGGTCATAGCAGCCTATCCTTCGCTGTTCTTCCTATGAAAAACACAGCAACTGTTCCTTATAAGGTCTCTGGTCACCAAAACACAAGAGCGACAGCATTGCATTGATTTCGAGAGAGAGATTAGAAAGATCAGAACCGGCTCTGTAATGAAGCACCTTTACTCATGATGTCAAGTTTAGATGACACTACTTATAGCGCTTTAAGTTGAGAGCTGCCCCCCCCCCTTTCCACTTGGTTTGATCTTTCGTCCATACTTAACCCGGAAGTCCCACGTGTATAATTTTTCAGCAGGATCAAAACTCGTATAACAAGGAAGTAGCTACCATGTTGATACTATTTGCATTGTTCTAATGCCCCGTATTCATTGAACTTCTGTCAGTGAGTTGACGTTTTTGAACGTCATTAAGGGAAAAATACCATCCGAAGTGAACCACTGATATGGTCCCACGTATTAGGCGCTTACGATGTTCATTTTCCCCCCTATCTCTTTATTTATTCACCTGTGACTTGTTAACGGCGGTGTTTTTAATTTTGAAAATTTCTGTGGAGAAGTCAACTGGAAGAAAACGACATAGAAGATGCTCACAGAGAAGAGTCGTTTTAGATTTATGTATCTGTGTCAGATGACTATGTCCGCGCTTATACTGTGTTCGTTTGGGGGGAGACAGGTTTGCAATTGTGCTTTCTTTATTAGCTCGTCCTCTTCACCGGGTTACGTGGCAACTAAAACTTTTGGTGGGGGTCCTGCCACGATAGGCCAGAGCGCAGAGCAATAAGGGACTGCTACTGCCAAGGCATCGTGAGGTACAAAAAACACGATGCGAGCCAGGAGATGAGTTTTTCGAAGGGAGGGGACACCGGGGTGGATGAGCCACTTAGTATGCGTTAAAAGTTGGAATGTGAAAGATCAAAGTGGCCATAAATCGCCACTCAGGCAAGAGAGCGCAGAGAACAACAGAAAGTTGGCGCCATTAAAGGGATTGAGTTTTAGTTGTCCGTAGGCCCTCTTCACCGTGATAAAAATGGACGAACCGACGAGGGCACAGCGGACCTCTGACTCTGCTTATACGATCAGCCGAGACCGTGCGGCGTTTCATGCGTTTTGCTTTGACAGAGAAATTGTGGGAATGAAATTTCAAGGCAGTGGTCACGATGAGGGCTTTTGCATCTGCTTTGAAAGTGGCCAAGTGGCCACAAATGTGAAATTCCCAGAGTCGAGATTGACTCTGTTTTATTCTTGCTATCTATTATCAGTCAGAGAGCGATAAAGAGAGCCAGCTTAACTGGTGCTTTGAGCTTTTACGTGGTTTTAACAGTGATTGTCCTTATTTTCCGAAGTTCTTTTTGTTAATTTCGCATGAACTCTCCCATAGACACATTAGATACCACCGCTGTCGCCGAACTTTTTGACCAGCGTGGTGATGCCGCCTTTCATCGCTTCCACCATTTGCACCCAAAACTGAACGGGACCAATTTGATCATGCACCTGCGCTCAGTCTTGTACGTTTTATCGCCGCTGATTATATTAACGCGCATTTCTTAGAACCCCATATAAAGACAGTCTAGCCAGTACCCACATCACTAGGCTAATGAACGAGATCGCAATGAGAAAACTACCTTGGCTCACGTTATTCCCATGTGATGCTGAGGGCCTGCGTGCATCAACGGACGTTTCGTGGATCAGCCCGTAAACCATTAACAGGTTCTAATGAGATTTCAGAGAAACCAACGCCGTTTTTGGTAGTTCTTTTCAAAGTGCCATGCCATTTTTAAGTCCTGTAAGTGCTTGTGGAGCGATGAGGTGGTAGTTTTTATTTTCACCCCGTTTCACGGATGTTGGACGGTATCCAGCGCTAGATTCTGTGAAGAAACGATTGAGAGCCAAACAACTGCGAGCTGTTCCAAGCCTCGCTACATGCAAGATGTGGGGAATGTGTCAGGAGCTCGTTACTTGTAACGAATGCACGCACCCTTTTGGAGTCAGACGCCCACCCAAGCAGAATGGCGCAAGTGGCAAAGATAGTGAAATTTCGTGTGTTCTCTTGCCCTTCGTGGTCTGCTCCCCCATTAGAGCGCTCGTTGTTTCTTCACCGCAAGTTCAAAAAATGCTGAAAGTCAGCTGGAAAGAGAAGTATTGAGTCTCCGGTTTGAGCGAATCCTTTGCTTTCCTTTAATGGCGGTCCAATCCTATGTAAGACATGTACCGACAGGTATATAACATTTTAAGCAGTATTCTAATATCATAGAGTGTTATTCGGGAAAGGATCATTGGAACCTTTCAAGCAACAAATGAAAAGGAAAAGAGTGAAAAACTAGACAATCAGCAGCTACACTGATGCAAGGGAGCTGAGCAGGAGGTAGCTTAGCATAGTCTCATGAGAAGAGCTTAACAAAGGGACGCAGCAACACCCCCGTAGAAAACTGGAGGAGGAAGAACAAAAAGTGAACAGATGGATCTAATGTGATGTGAATGAGCTGAGAAAAGTGTACTGAAACAAGAGAGGTGGGCATGCGGTCAGTTTTTAAACTCTGGTAGATAACTGACAGCGGATGCCAGATAATCGGTAACTTAGTCAAAAGAACCCCACAGGTGGGCTTAAGAAGGAACACAGAAAGACACAGACTTAAGCCAAGCATCATTCAAGTGGAGCCATCGTGAGCAATGGCCCAATGCTGTTTCAAAGAGAGAGCAAGACGATTAACAGGACGAATTGTCACCTGTGATGAAAAGGGATCATGTATGATAACAGGAGAAGGACTGTGGTTGGATGCCGACGAACCACCGAGGCAATTTCCAAAGCCGAATCCTCACGAAAAAAAGATTATGGTCACAGTGTGGTGGTCATCGGCTGGTGTGATCCACTATAACTTTTTGTCACCAGGCCAAACCATCACAGCAGAGTCCTACTGTGAAGAAATCGACGAAATGTACCGAAAATTGCGTCAGCTGCAGCCAGCACTTGTCAACAGAAAGGGTCCGATTCTTTTGCATGACAACGCCCGCCCACACGTTTCACAAATCACTATCCATAAATTGAACGAATTGGGGGTTGAAGTTCTACCTCACCCGCCATATTCTCCAGACCTTTCACCAACCGACTATCACCTTTTCATTTTCAGAACTTCCTTGCTGGAAAATACTTCATCAATCAGGACCAGGCAAAAAAGCCTTCGTGGATTCTCGACCACCCAGTTTTTTCTTTGATGGGATTTATCGACTGGTGTCACATTGGCAAAAGTGTGCTGAGCACGACGAAAAACCGTCCCCCCGTTGTTCCAAGTTGTGACGCTTAGCATCCACACATTCGGTCTAAGTGTCAGATCTCATTCGCATTCGTGCAGACCAGCCTAGTCATCCTTATTTCCGGTGTGTGTGAAAACTGCTAGCACCAAAACTCTCGACGAGGGTAAACGTGGAGTTCCGCAGTTTATTAATTAATTAAAATGCATTCAGAAACCATCGCAATTCCGAATGAAGCAATAGGCGTGTTTTAACCTTGAAAGGGATTGATCAGCGTTAACGATAAAGCACGCGATTGCATATTGTGTAAACTGGCGTTGTATGTTGTGGAAAATGGCGCCCAGCTACAAACTTATGATCGTAAGATGGCTCTCCACGGAAGAAAAAAAGCAAAAAAAATCATATAGAGCACCCTAAGTAAGGACCCAGCGGCGTTCGTGGACGAGTTCTCCGGATCTGCTCGTTTCTACCAGCAAAGCGACATCCTGCCGCTTCTGGTTAACGAATCGTGTCTTCGGGACATCTAGTGCTAATACCATCGAACAGTGAGAGAAAAAGAAAAACGCGGTGTATAAACTGAATTCGCGAGAGAAATGGCCTTCGATTTCGGTGACCGGAACAAGTGTGGATGTGTCAGAATTGTCACTTCTAAGTGGCAGCGCCTTGTTACTTCCGGGAAGCCGTGAAAGTGGGATAATCCTGGGAGATGAATATCAGACTACTTGTATAAGGAAGAACTCCCCGAATAGCTTGAGCGCGGAGACTACCTTCAGAGTTTTATCTTTCTATCATTTGTCGCTTTTCAGTTATTTATTCTAACACTTAAGGTTTCGAGATCATCGTGGGGTCGAACTGTGTCTGCACTGTCAGTCGACAACAAATTCATGGTCTGTGGTGGTGGCATGAATTTCGGCATCTGGCATCTGGGCATGTACTCACTAGCTACAGTTATGGAGGCTGACAACGGTATGAATTTCATTTTTCTTTTTGCGAAAGTCTCCAAGTCCTTTTCTTGAGGATGTGCATGGCTGAGTAATGGGCCATAGAAAAAGCAAATTGGAAGCAAATGAAGGTTTCGGTGATTCCTTTGGTCAATAGAAACCTTGAGAACATTGGCCATAACAAGATTGGGCACTAGCCCATGGGTCCAAAGAGGACACTGTAATGGTGTGAGACCAATCTCCGGGGTTTCCGAGGAGGGATGTTTTACCGTGAAACTCGCCCGATCCCAGTCTTCTGGGTTTTGCTCCGCGCTAGACCTTGTAGCAAGAGCCTTTTCTTCTAAACGCTGAACGCTTTCAATGGATCCGCTGAAAGGGACTCTCGTGGATGCACTGGAAGAAATTCCGCAAACACGGACATTTCTGAATCGAACTGATGACTGAACAATACAAAAGAAAAAGAGACTACTGAGCGAGTTGACATACCGCTAGAGCAGACGGTATACTTTTTGTCAGGCGCTGGTGATGAATCCTTAATGAGTTTTCTAGGCTATGTACTTCATGAATAACTGTGCAAGGTTATTAATGAAATCACGGAGCGGCTTTTGTAAGCAGCTAGTGATTATCTTATCTTATTCGTAGCGCATACTGGATAAGTGCTTGCAATTAGAGAATTCAAAGAAAAAGCTTGGTTTTTAGCCAGAGCTTCTATTGGACGGGTGACGTTTTTTGAAGACCTCCTTCCTCAGACGCTCGGTCGCTGACGCAGGAGCGAGCGGAGCGATGTTCTGAATGTGCTATTAATTACTAGCATGTCTAGTAAGAATCTCCATGGAAAGGCATCTTTCCGCTGTGTGATGAAGGAATGGATCTCTGGAAAAGATCTAGTCAAAGCATCTGGTCGTTAGTGAAGGTTCCACCGAGCAACCTCGTTTACACATGAGAAGGTCGGAATTGAGATCATTATCAGTTAGTTTCAGACCAGGGCCAGAACCAGGACTGGGAGTTTTTAAGGGAGCGCTGTTTGGAGACTGTCATTGACGTTGAAGGGTACATGCGTGGACCATATGACGATGGATCGCTTCCCTGCGCACTTCTGCGAATGCCAAGAAAGGGTGAAAAATGTTCCGTGGGTCCATACCAAACCCGGTGATTGAGAGCGTAAGGGCGCTTTCGTTCGGGCAAAAGATTCAGACATTTGTGATCGACACAAGATGAAGTTTACGGAAATGTGAAACGTAGATAACGTAGAATTCGAACCGTTTACCCTTTCTTTGGTATTTCCAGGAGTGCGGAGAGCAAAATAAACTTCACTTCCATGGCCTATGTATGTTCCCCCACAACAGCTATACCGTTCCGAAAAAAGCGTCCCGTCCAGGGTACCTTCACAAGTGTGAGTGGCAATTTCGGTGCGAAACCCCAACTGTCTCCTATAGTACCTTCTCGAAGTTCCTTCTCAGGTAGGATCCCCTCTCACAACTTACCTATCTCCTCGTCAGAGGTTTCTCACACTCCAGTACTTGTGCAAAGGTGTATCCAATTGGTCCCGAGAAATTCCCGTCGAAGGAGGGGGTAGGGTCCTCTCCATTCAACTTTGCGAAGTTGTGATTGTTTAGTAGCTTTAGAGCTCCTCCAGCTCAACGGATTGATAGTGCGCCCTGTGAACAACCGAAAACTTTTTTCGTCGTACTTCGGAGAAATTTGTCTTTCGCTTACACTGTCTCCAAGGCTTGGGAAATCCCCTTGCTAGAGGATCAATCAACTGCAGTAATATCTCTTGCTTGCCTCATTTATAAGCTGCCGTTTCTCAAAGTTCATAGTTTTTTTTTGTGCAAGAAAGTTGCAGCATCTCATTTGCCAATCATGATGAAAGGCTGATGAAGTTATCCGACCACCAGTTATTACTGGGCGCAATTGCAGCGATAATTGGATATCGGGGTACACCTCGAGTAACCTTTATTCAATCCGGCTAATGAGAATCTCATTTCAAGAAAATTCATTCCGGGGGTTTCATTCGCATTTTTCGTTGGAAAGGGTGTTTTGGAACTAGTGAATCGAAGAATGGGTTTACCAGTGGTGCAGCGGTTTTGCGCATAGTGAGATCGAAATGGTATACTATTGAAAAGTCCCGTCATAAAAAAACATTCCCAATGGGAAATGCGCGAAAAACGATTCAATTTATAGCTCACATGTGCACTAAACTCCAGTGGAAATCGTGTTGATCAGCTAGGGGAAGCAGAACACACCATCACGTTGTGGATAATTCCTGCAATATGAGGTCCCCCGCACTCCACCACCAATTTGCTGCTCTGGTTTAACCTCCATTACTGCATACCTACCATGTAGCCGAACGTTCTTGAAATTTCGTGGCCCAGTCAAGGACGGGCAGGGGGGGGGGGGGGGGGCGGCAAAGAGGGTACACAGACACGTTCAATCTACTACCAGAAGTACACTGGTGTGCAAAACTTAGGACGAAAGCAACTTTCGATCACTGTGCCTCTGCCAGACAACATAGCTCGATGAAATTCATATCATATCAAGAGAGAACCTTAACGATATCTGGTACGGAAAAGCAGTATGATCCCGGAAACTTGAAAATAAGACGAATTGTTATGACATTTTTATTCAACCATGTCGATTACACATAAGTCTTCACGATTTATCCTGGTACTACAAAAGAAGTTACACGGATCCTAATAGGGTGTGTGATCACCACGGACAGCAATACATGCTCTGCACCGCGATCCCATACTCTCACGAGGTTGGTAATGAGTTCCTGGGGCAGGGCATTCCACTCCTCAATCAGTGCATTTGACAATTGCTAGGTCGTCATTGGTGCATTTGGTCTGCTGCAATGCGTCCTACCCAGCTGCATCCCACACTTGTGACTCGCGTGGGATTTAGGTCGTACCAGGACTGTGCGGCCCACTCCCTTCGCCGATATCCTCTCGTCCTCTCCACCTGTTAGCGTTCGATTGCGTCGCGCATTGTCATCCTATTGAGAATGAATTCAGGGTCCGCTTGCAGTCTGAAAAGACGGACGTGTGATGTAGGGAGGGGGAGAACGCGTCGCAGTAACGCTGGGTGTGTTAGGGCTCCATGCTCAAAAATACTGAGACGGTCAGTACCCAACAATCATAGGCCATGCAACATGATGCCTCCCCATACCATAACACCTCGACCACCAGTACGATCACGTTCGACAATGTTGCCGGAGGAGTTGCGTGTTTCCACCTCTCGCCATCATGAGCGTGTGCCGTCCAGAATCAACTGCTCCAGAAACTGAACTGCTCTCATCCGAACAAGGAGCACACGGCTCCTATCCCTCATAGGTTCATTCGGCCATGTCCTGGCCACCACCGTAAACTGGTCGATGCGCCGCGGGGAGTCAAAGGACCACAACAAGCGTAACGGTCCGTCGGACGAAAGAGACCACCACCATGCAGTCGTCTTGCCCCTGTAGTGCGTGAGATGGCTTGCCCTAGAGTCCTCTTCTTCCCTTCTCTCTTGCCTCCTTGGATCTCTTCTTGCCTGCTGCACAATGTAGCGGTCGTCCCTTGGTGTAGTTGTCCTTGGTCGGCCACCTCCTCGTCTTCGGGCAGCAGTACCAAAGGTTCGGAACGCTCTCCATGCACGTGAAACAACGCTGTGAGCGATACCGAACTCCTGGGCTACACTCGTCATGGTTCGACCTTCTTCGAGTTTCCCTATGATCCTTCCTCGAGTGAAGTCATCCAGATGCTCTCTTCGGGACATGATGTATCGAAGGATACTACCACAGTTCTTTGCAGCGGCCATATTTGGCACTTTATTCAAGCTCTTCTTCCACCGAGAAAAGTCTAGCTTCCTGTGCATATCCCTTAGGCGAGTGGCAACATGCTCCCACACTTTCATTTACTTCCACCCAGTCATTAGTGTTTTATGTTACTTTATCCATCTCGTCCCTAAGTTTTGCACACCAGTGTAGTACTTTTGCGGCGACGTCTAGGGGAGTGCATGGGCCGTTTTCTCACAAGGCACGGACTCCGTTCATTCACACAACGGATGTTGAGCCCTGAAGGGAAGGAGTACAGCGCCAGAATGAGGCTAGACAGGAATTCATAGCTTACAGTTAGAGAGACGAGAGCCCTGGGTGATCGCAGTTGCATTTTTCAAACTTTTTAAATTCCCTTGTTGAATAAAATGGCATCTAAACAAATATATTACATCTCTATTTTCAGTCATAGAGTTTAATCGATGCAAAGCGAATTCTCAGTTCTTTTTCCGACACTTACACTTTTAATGTTTTTAATTAAAGATCTAATTCCGTCAACGACGTTGACAGATCTGGCTAGGCGTCGATCTTCCTAGACCAAATAAAGAACGCGGAATGACTAATGTGAACTCTAGGCGTTGAAATAATTGGAAATTGTGGCGAATTGAGGGTTCTTTCCGGGAAGCCCTCCGAGTTCGCTTTCGAATCGGAGTTCTGGGTGCATTTGAAGTTTCTGAACTTCAACTTCCCTGCATTTTATGCCATCTAACACAAGGAAAAATAACGAAGAAACGGGGATATATGAAGCCGCTATATCTTCGTAGTTATTTGTGAAACTGAAACACTCCCCCCCCCCTCCACTTGTTCGAACTGCCCCTTACAAAACTGATAAGTAATTTTGGCACTATTCCTTACCGGCCGAAAAACTCAAAATTTTTTTTTTTCTTGAAACGTTGCCTATAGGTGTAATCGCTGCGTCCGTGATACACGAATAATCACATTCGTTTTCAAGCCGCTGGCGTCAATCTGGCGCCATTCCTGCCGGCCAATTTGGGCCGCCACCCACTTATTTTCACGCAACAGTCGACTGAAACTCGCATATGGGCGTTAAATCGACAATCCTGATCGACCCTGGGAGTCGGCATTCATATTTTGGGCCGTTGGGCGCTTCATTTTGGGCGCCATTATGCCGCCAACTTCTGGCCGCCTATTGCATATTGGCGCATAATGGCACCAATGGCGCCAGCGTCTGGAACCAGTGTGATATTCGTAATCAGGATGTCGATTAACCCCCATATGCAAGTTTTCATCAACTTTGGTGAAAAAAATTGACGCGCCTAATGGGCGCCATGAGAAGTGTCGCCCGGCGAGGCGGTCGAAACGGTACTCGTGATATCTAACCGTGATAAGAGCGCATCGAAATTACATCTACAGCGGCAAACGTATACAAGCGGAGACAAAATTTTTTTTTGAGTTTCTTGGGGTAGGCCGGCGGGGGAATAATAGTTCAATAGTGCCGTAATTTTTCTGCTTGATAATTATTTGTACTGTTTTGCCTAATCGTTGAGGGGTACGTGATGTACACGTAAATGTGCTGTAATGGGTTACGATACTAACTCGCGTATACATCATCTCACGTCGTAATAAGTTGTAAATTTCAGGTGCAGTCGTTATCACTGAAGTTAGTCGGGTAGTGTTAACGCAAGTTTTGTCGCACCTTTAGCCCCTATACCACCACTCTTTCAAGGCCCGAAGCTGCAACGATCAACGGAAAACGGGCTTGCGTCGCGCTGAAACCCGCGCTGCGCTGACACGCCCCGACTAGCTTCATTGATAGATAGAGGCCATGTACTATGCGTCAATCTATCAATAGAAAACAATGAAACGTTGCGATTTGATTATGGCAGTGGATTGAAGAACGTTGAGCAAATCTATTCTCCTGAACTGGTTTGATTTCAGTTCGGCATTTGACATGCGAGATGACAACCGACAAAATCCTCACTGGCAGTATGCATCCCATTCTCTCACAGTGGGATCACTCCGGCAAAAAGATCTCAGACGTTCACGGTAAACCACGATCAATCTACAGTATTTTGCAGACAAGCGCTGTCTCATTTACAGCAGGGGATTCAAATTTCATTGACGTGTATTTAAATCTTGGTTATGTTGCCTTTTCACTGGATGCATTTCCTATGGAATAAATACTGTTTGCTTTAATTTGTTTGTCGTTTGAAAAGTTTTGTGTTCTGAACTTGGCAAGAAATAATTTGCTTCACAAGGGAAGGTCGTCAAGGTGCCATGGAACATTGACTGGAGACCTGGTCATTTCTATAAACGAGAAAGGGTCTTTGCCGTCAAGTTTGTGGGATGCGGCACGCATTCTACTTCCATTCAGAATCGTAGTGGCTTATTGAATGCGATGTGGCCTATACAATGACTTGCGGGGGCCAGCCGATGTACAAGTCAGTGTTTTATCCTCCCAGACGAATCTGGTACCAATTTACCGTCCCCGGAGGAGAAGGTTGGTTGGCCTAGGGGTTGCACTGAGGCTAAAATTGCTGCTTGCAACTCACAAGAGAGTTAATGGGCTGATCCCTTTGAGCATTGAGAGTGGTCCTGATATTGCGCCTATATAGCCGAAAAAAGCGATTTGGCGAGCCACGGGTTCACAGAGACCGCAGGCAGTTGGCAGCCATTTTGTTTATGGTGTTACTTTTTTTTTTGTTTTCCCCTTGTACACAAGATTCCTTGTACTTTTTTTTCTTGTTTGGGGAAATACTTATCCTCTACTGGTTCATAATTGAGCAGCAACTATCTCAGTCAGGAACAGGCCAACATGAAAGTGTGGGGGGGGGTCTCTAATGGGCCAGTGAATGGAAAAGCGAACGAAGGCCAAAGAAGGCCTCACTGACTAGCCAAACTTTCCAGACCTGTTGATTCCGCACTAGGAACATGCGGCACCCCTTGTCTGGACCTCTTGGTTCCACAATCGTTTCTTCCCATCTCGCAGTACCGAGGGCCGTACGACGCTCAAAAAAACCAAAAAAATGTCATGGAACCGAAGTTTGTAACGCAGAGTTGCTTTGGAAGTTTTTTTTTTGCTAAAAGCTGAGATAACTGTAAGCAATTAAACTATTGTCGCGATAAAACAGCGTTATTGGTGAATAGAAACAACTGAAGTGACTACATTTTCTTGTCCGTGTAGGCTCTAACATGCACGCGGAAATGCTGCTTGTTCAGTCCAAGTAAAAGCAGCTTGTTCTTGGGCTGAACACGGAGCATTTCAGCCCATTGTGGGCTCGCTGCGTGCCCCATAAGGGCAGCGTTCTCGATGAGACATTTCCACTCTGGAACAGTTGTGGACGTCTTTGTCTAGAATAAGTGGTTTGTCTCGAATTAAAATATTCCGCGAATGACCTATCCCATGGCGTGTTGGAATAACGCACACAACCACGGCCATCATGTCTCAGAGATATGAAACGAATTTCTGTAACAATTCTTCGTAACAATTAGATGACAAACGAAACAATCTTTTATACTTCTTCAGCCAGCAAAGCAAACCGTTCCCAAACCTCCTAAGGCGATAGAATGATGATGGATATCGGTCAAAAGAGCCACTTCAATTGTAATCAATTCGTTCTGTCAACCTCGAAAGGCTGCAGCTACTTGCAAGTTAATGTACTTTGAAGTTGAACGAGTCAATTAGTCAAAACGGTTGGAAATGTCATTTTTCATAGTTTGTCCAAGTTTTTCTTTGGCGCTTAAGTTTTGTGCACACGGCTGCATGGGGGGGGAGTGGACGAGGTTGAAACGTTCCCCTCCCCCCACCCTTAGAGATATGTGCTTTGGGACAAAAGTGGTCGCATTTGATTTGTGTTGTCAATATCCAGTCGCCGTAAGCAAGGTTGATTAGGTAAAGCCTTAGAGGGCCGCTAAGATATGGTAGTTGATGTTTAGCAGAGGGAGGAATAAAAACTAAAAAGCTAGTTCGAAGAATTGAGTGCCTTCCAAAGATCAACTGCAATCCCTCAGCGTAATGATGAATTTTGAATAGGCAGTGAAGCCCTGATAAAAACAAAAATGAATCTGTGTAATTGGAATTTTGAGACTGCATTTTCAAAAGGTATCCACGGCCAAGTCATTTTTTGGCTCATGGGGCTTTTTATTCTCCTCAAAACGTACAGTTATCCCTTCAATTAGCTTCCTTTCATGGAAGGGCAGCAAAAATGTACTTATGAAAATCCTAATCACGATATGACACAATTCTCATCGACACATCACATGTCAGCGAAGGCACAACGGTGAAGCAGATACTGTATAATATAAAATTATTTTGTGGAGAATAGCGAAGAAACGTTCACAGAAGGAGAATTCATGTAGTAGGGAAAATGTGCATGAGGGCTCAACTTCCTTTGGAATGGTTCGCGCAAGTAACCCATAAAATTGAAGAATAAGTTCTTCTCTGTTGATTAATGCCGTTTTGGGATGCGGCACGCATCCTTCTTCTTTCAGATTCGTAGTGGCTTGTTGAAGGCTGTTCGCTCTATAAAATGACTTGCCGAGCTCAGCCGATGCTCATTTCAATTGCTCATCCTACCATACGAATTTGCCGCGGAGGGTAAAAGGCTTAGTTGGCCTCGGCGAGAGCTGATCCAAGATTCGACCCCGGACCGCGCGCATGGTTAGCATTCCACTTGCCCTACACCAGCACCGTCTCGAGCAACCTATATTACTTTCTTGAAGGCATACTCCTATATTTCAACCTGCTGAGAAGTCACTCCGCAGAAGTCGAGGGAGCTGACACCTGCCTTTTATTCTAGAAAGTTCCCTTTCACTACGCCAGGTGTGTATGGTATTAGCGCTGGGAGCCGGGCATATTCCACCCAAAAATAGACAACGTTTTCGCATGTCACCCTCAAGGATGGACTCAACCTGAAGATGCAGTCGAGTCTAGCTACACGTTAGCTAAGAGGAGCTCTTACAGACACTGCACAACAAACACCAAACTTTACAGCAAGCGCGTTCATTGGAAAAATTTCCACAATGGGTACGTCATCAGTTGTGCCGCTCTGGTAATGTTGACCGAACAGTTTGTTGCTTCCTCTACACCTGAAGGAGTGAAGAGAATTGGGTCCTGGGTTCTTTTTGTAAAGCATGCTTTCTCTGGAAGTGTTCCCGCTAATGGCACCTAAAAAGCACCTCTTTTGTCTTCAATGCTATAATCTCCTGCACTGAAGAATGTTATGTCGAGGGATTCTTTAGTGAATGAGGCATTGCTCTATAAATCACGTTCATTTTGGTCTCGGTAGCCTTAGTTTAACCAGAGAGGTAGAATAGAAGCTCAGAGGGACTGACTGTTCGGGACGAATTGTTGACCATCTTGCAGAAAAGGTAAAAAAAGAAGTGAATAACACAGAAAAAAATTCGATGACTAGGTCCCGGTTGTTCTCGGCATCGTATTAGATGCGCACACATCACTTTTACCAGATTTTGATTCTTATTTGTTTCATCTCTCCCTGCTTGTAATTACCAATGTAAATCAACACTCAGTATCTATTAGGGTGTCCGGAAAGTTTTGAGAAATTTCAACCAGCTCATTTAACACCTATCAACAACAATAAGAGATAGGAGTTCATACTTATAATAGACATTGTCCATCCCATTTCCCTTACCTTTTGGGCGGGATTACTTTGCGTGGGAGTTAGAATGAAGTGAGTACCGAGCATGCGGGGCGTACGCAACATCCAAGCTGAACTTCCACGTAAGAGACAGATTGATCTGCAGATATTTTTCAAACATGTTTTATCCAGCATCGATGACGGTTCCTCATTTTCAATTTGACTGATGGGGCAGTCAGAACGGTGAAGATGAATAGGAACGTTTGGGGGGGGGGGTGTTGTGTGCGTTAGCACATTTTTCAGGTAATGTGTAGTCATACGCCTTTATGCTGGGCCATTCGCTTGCTACACTTTTTCAAACTAAAAGAGAGGAATTTTTGCAACTCCTCGTGGAATTTTCTCAACTTCTCGTACAACCTAATATAACCTTTTGTCGACGTACAACCAGGAACTCACTAGCTCGCTCAAAGAAGGAACTAGGGGACGAGTCGAAATATTGTTCCAGATCGTTCTATTAGGTTGTTGCATAAGTTCTTTATACTCGGACGTTTTTGTAAATATTCAAAAAACGAAGCAGCCTGGAGAATTGAGGTCTGCACCATCCACCAATTCAATCATACTCGATGGCGCCAGCGCTCAGGCAGCTTGTCGATTCTTCCCAGAACGACGGAGGCTGGGACTTGAAGAAGTCGTCGAGCGCCTTTCTGACCTGATCCTTTGTTTCGAACTTTTTTCCGTCCAGATAGCGCTGCAGGTGGCTGAACAGCCAGTAGTCAGAAGGAGCGAGGTCAGGGCTGTAGGGAGGGTGGGCGACCATCAGCCATCCGTACTTCTCCAGCTCGGTCTGGGTCGCCTTTGCAGTGTGAGGTCGGGCGTTGTCATGGTGGAAGTAGATTTCCGCATTCCTTCCACGAGTACGGTTCGTGATCTTAATCTTTATTTCCGCCAGCTGGTTCACGTAGTGAGAACCTTTTTGGGGTGAAGGTCGGCCTTTGGGGTGGCTTCTGGCTGTTCTCCTTTGTCGACCCACTGCCGCTTCCTCACAGGGTTATCGTAGAGGACCCACTTCTCATCTCCAGTGATCATCGAGTTGAGAAAGTGAAGCTTCTTTTGTGAATCGTTAAGCAAAACCAGGCAGTGGCGCAGGTACATTCTGTCACAGTGGTAATTGTGCGACATTGTGTACTGCAAATGCAAGCTCGGTGAGTGATAGCTAGTGTAATGAAAGAGTATGTATAATTGTAACGTCAACGAGCAGCACATGATGAGCGTAATACCAACATCCATGCGAACGAAATAGGAGAGGATCAAACACGTGTATAAAGAACTTATGCAACAACCTAATATACTTTACCACGGTTGTATGCTAGGTCGTAAAGATGGCGCCTTGAGTCTATTGCATGACGCACTAGTATTTCTTCTGCGAATTTATTTGTTTTATTATTATTTATCTTACGTTACACTCAAGGTGCCCCTTGACAAAAAGAAACAATCAACAAGAAGACACGCATTAGAAAAAGTGTAGTGAAAATGACTCGTCAAGGGATCTTTAACCCACGTGCCCGCATTATTCTGAAGTTCCA